CTATCATATAATGAAGTCAGTGAAACAGGATCACCATGGAACAGTACATCACAGCTAAAATCGCGTTATTACCACTGTCTAGATGGAAATGAAGGACCTTCAAATGCGAGTGCGACTGCTAACCACAGACAGGTGCACGGCGTATACCCGAGCAGGCGTTTTCCTAAAAACGCCTTCTCTGTCAGCGGCCGTAAGCAGACAAACTTCCTGAAGAGAATTTCGATGCTTTCAAATCAAATCTAAGCGGAAGAAAGTGTAGCGAACTTGCTGAATTGACTTCTAGGGACCCCTAGAAAATTCTGGCAGAAGAAAGCTTTTCAGGAAAATTTTGCATAGTTTTGAAGCACTCTTCACGTAAACTCCAGCAGTTTTTACCGCTTCTCATTATATTGGGTTGTCCAGAAAATCCTGCGACACTTTGTCCAAGATTTTTGACTGTACCTTTTTTTGTTGAATGGGATATTCAATCAGCACGGTTATCACCGGTAGCACGTAGGAGACGTGTACTTTTTCTGGGCAACTTCTCAACCCTCTTACTTTAGAAATCCGGCGTTTGCTTCGAAAAGAAGCGCTTCATCCAATTTTCGAGGTGACCTCAATCATTGGATTTTTTCTCTTCGAGGTAGCGCTTCAGTGTACTAATTACGCAATATTTAGAAACGACTAAGTCAGGCGAGTAAGCCAAGCACTGCAGAATTTCCCGATCAAAATCCACGATCTCCTCATGTGTAATCCTTCGCCACATACAGATACGGGTTAGGGTGGGGTAACACCGTATCGAGAATTTCTGCGTGATTTGACGCATGGCTTCGGCCAAATTTCGAAGGTTGTTAAAGCCGACAATGGTCGATACCCTGGTGCAGGTATCCAGCAGCTTTCTGTAGCGAATCAGTTTGCAACCTCATCAGAAACACTAAAAAGTCCTTCTTGACGAAGGCCTGCTTTCGTTCCTGCGGGTAGCTTTCCTCCTTGTCGAATCCAGTAGTGCTTATGTGTATAGTTTAGTCAAGGCCAGAGCTATCTTCATTAGCCATCATTTTTTGTCAAGAGATTCCTTTGATGCGAAAGAAGAAGAGAAATCTGAATCATGGTCACACGGTTCGCCTCCCCAGACTGGCGCAACCCATGTGGTGTCAATGGCGAACATACTGATCTGTAACCGAGATCGTGCAGATCCTCGACAATTGTCGAATGAATGCACATAAGCGTTGTTGTTAACCTACTACTGGTACCAACCGGCTGCGCCTCTTGGAAGTTGAGTAAACGCTTGTCAGTCATCGTCTACTGCCGTCCAGCTCCGTGCCCCATTTCGAACAAAATATCTCCAGTTGCGAGGGAACAAGGCCAACGGGACACCATGGCCTAGTGAATGACATCCCTCCTGACTACAGCACAGATGCTAGCTGCAAGGACACAAACGGGTGGCTTTACAGGAGCTCGAAAAATAAAATAGGTCAAAAGATGTGTTGATTCAGAGACAAGTTTGAAACAGTTAAACGCCGCACGTAGCCTCCATTTACGCTTCTGCCGAAACCTCCGAAGATACACTGCAGCAATCAAATACCAAAACTACTGGAAAGAGTTTTGGTCTTTTCCTAAAGAACTTTGTTTAAAGTGTCGCAGGATTTTCTGGACAACCCAATATGAACTTTGAATAAAGTTACAGGCGTTTGAAGATTGCAAGGTCGCGTTTTAGGAAAATACTTGAAAGTAAAGGAAGAAATTGGTACAACGGGACTATTTTTTGAAAGAGTGTTGCTCAAAGAAGTTCAGCACTGATTGGACGAAGAACACCAATCTTCCGGTTCTGACTACTCTAGAATCTGCAAAAGTGCATTATGTAAGAAGTCATGAGGTAATGGATAAAACTCGCGCCTTGGTCGGAAATGGACCACAGGCCAACACTGGGATCTCTTTTGGGAGTGATCTTTGGAAAAACTTCAGGTACTTGTTTGAAAGCGCTAGCTTTCTAGTTTCTGACCAGCTTCAAACAGCTGTAAAAAGCTGATTCTGAAGGAGGTTTAGGAATGTACGCATGACCGAAATCGCGTTTGCCAAAAGAGAGCACCGGCACGGATTTATTTGGGAATTTGGCATCAGACTTCATACACTTTCAGGAGAAAACTATTTAGGTTTTCCGAATTTTTTTGTCCCGTTCTATGAGAGCGCCGATGAACGAAGATATACCTTTCAAATAAAGACGCCCGTAACTACAACAGATTTAGTTTTTCAGCATATGAAAAAAAAGAAGGAAAAAAGATTTGAAAGTTTGGGGAAAGCTTGGTAGGCTACTGAAAGTGGAAATATCTAATAATGGTACCTATGTTTATGAAAAATGTTGTAAATTTATTTATTTTCGTTAAACAAATTCGCAATCACTGGCTGCACTTTTTTGTACGAGAAAAGCGCGGCTCATCGGCAAACCTCGTGCTCTGTTAAGGGCGCGAAGCTTAGATTTTAGAGATCCACTTTCCATTCGCGTTACGATACGGACACTACTTGAACTCGGTCATTTGAACCGCGTTCCCGCCTGCGCTCTCTCGCTCAAACAGCGGGTGCTGACCTGTGTGATGCCACACATCGTAACTTTTGCCCCAATGCAATTGGCTAAATCACCCTGGACCCCCCCCTCATCCAGTCCTAGTTCGCAGATCTAACAGAGGGGGGAGCGTTTGAACACCTTTAGTAGGAGAGAATCGGTTATAGTCGTAAGAGATCTCAAAATTCTGAGTCTTAGACTGGGATTGACTAGCCGACGCCATACAGCTGACAGGACGGCTATCACAGCTGACGTTCGGTCACACGAGAGGAAAAGTTCGCCATTCACGAAACTTCCGCGCAAGTCCCCCTCGAACGATACTATGTGAAAAACCTCCCACAGTGAGAACATCAGCAACGTAAGTCAATTGATACATTTTCTTAACCCATAACGGACGGCCAGTGTATGTCTCCGTGCGCACCATGTGGAGCACCGCCACCAGGGTGGTTATGTAGGCCTTTCGCCAAGTAGGGGTAAGACGGGGCTAAAGTAGGTGTCGGAGTCTCATCATCCGAAAAAAGAGATTTCCGTTGACGACAAGTTCGTAGCCGCCTTTCCGCTCTAAAACTAGGGTGCAAAGAATGAATGGAAGCTGTAGGTGACATTATCGAAAAATGCGAAACAACAAACAACCCCCCGAGGGATGTGGCTATATTTAGGGGAAGGGGTCTCGGGACGTGCGAACCATGGGTAAGCCACCCATCAAATAGTAAACTTATGTAAATTAAGACAAAATGTATGTAAAATTTATTGTAGGTTTGTCAAAAATCCAGCCGTCCAGGTCCTGGGAAGATATGTTATTCCACATTGCTGAGAGTATATATGGGTATATTAAGATTGCTAGAAACATTCCAAAAACAAAAGAAATAGTCGTGCGCCACCTTGTGGCGCACGCCGTCCGTTATGGGTTAAAGGTCAGTACTCTACCGTGTTAAGCAAGCAGTTACCCGCCCCAGCTTGAAGTCTCACATCAAAAACGTAGCATAAACAAAAATATATTAGGTTAAAGATTATAAATAAATCACCTGGCCTCCTTCTTTGAAAATTACGTTTGTCTGGATTCTAACAAGCTCCAAAAGTGGTGAGTCGTCAAGGAAGAGCTTTTCTGAGGACAGGCCGACTTTGATTTGCATTACACCATGAATCATCACGGCCCAGTAAGCCAACATCACTCCTGTAAATGATTGCACGAATGATAAATAATCCTTGGTTGTGTAGAATAATTCGCATTTAGAATAAAACTACAGAAGAACGTTATGGCCAAGAATTGGTATGCAATCGTTCAAAGGTCTAAACTGGAGAATTTGACGATGTACATAGTACGTACCGTGTAAGGAGCATATCACACAGGGTAGAAACCAAGCACCAGTTCGGCACTCTAGTTCGAAGGACACTCCACGATCAGATTGCAGTTATTTCGCTTGGAAGTAAAATGAGGGTGCGATGAGAAGCGGCGGTGAAGAAGGAGCAAAAGAGACTTGAAAACACTAAAATTGATGGCCTCCATTTTTGTAGGGTCGGCCATGGTACGACCGGGAGTGAAAGTGTGCAAAGAAGGGAGAAGTTTCCAGAGAGCACGCTGTATGAGAGGAGTCAGATACACGTTCGGCCATAGTGAGAGACAGGAGGGCCACTGGTCGTCAAGCCACTATTCGCAAGCACTGGCAAGCACTAGCGCTCTAGTCGTGCTTTTTCGAGTCGTGAATGCGACAGAATTTCGTGAACAGCTCTATCTTTGCTACCGAAACGACTGCTCTAAGCTGACCGCAGAGTGTGCTTTCAGAAAAGGGCCATTGAGAATCTTCCAGGTAACTTGCAAAATCTCTACACAAGACAGTCGTAGGCTTTCACATGAGTTTGGATGTATGTGGATGTTGTGAAGCATCTGCCTTGTAAGACACTCTTAAGCACAGGCTTCAGAATCGAACCACACATATGAACAAATAATTGGTTTTCTTCCCAACAGTTTTATGGCAAAGCCCACCTCCCACTATGAATTTACTCCAGATTGAGAGACTAAAATCGACCCAAGCATCAAGAACAGCGTCCAGAATTTTTGCCGTAGTGCGCACAATCCACGACGGCTTCTCATTCCTTTCGATCTAAATTGCGATCATTTCCCACGCGTTCACGACAGTGCTCTGACAGGCATTGCACAACAACAAAATCTTCATAATCAATCGAATGGATCACCAGGAAAATTCGTACCTTCGTAGGAGGAGGCACAGTCAAACAGCAAAGATAGGCGTTCCCTCTGCGTGCTTCGCGATGACCTCCTAATGTCAGTACAGCTGAGAAGAAGAATATTTGATAGATGTAGTCGTAGATGACTGCCACAGAGATAAAGACGCAGAATGTCTGCAATGGTAGGGGTACTTTTAGCTCAGCTGAAACCAATCGTCACGTTTCCCTCCTTCTGTATGCAAAAGACCAACAGTCTAAAGATAACCTACATTACCACACCTACATGGTTCATGCAAAACGTCTGCTTAATACAATGTAGAAATCCTACAGAATCTATGAATCTCACATAGGGAGCTTTGGCCACCATTCCCAGAGCTCCCATGCCAGTGATTCATATAGCCCAATCGGAGAAGCACTGATGCCGCACTCTTCAAAGTGATTTTCACGATAAAAAGGCAGCAATGGAAATTGAAGGCACAACCCAGGCAGATGTCGTGTGAGCGATCCCCTTCGGTCTGGAGGACAGACCCCAAAAGAACAATCACAGGTGTGGCA